AGTAAATTAACATAATAATAATATTTTGTATAATATGGAACATATGTATATTATGATATATTAAGTTAAAATATAAATAATATTATTTATTAATTAAACAGTAAAGAAATTTAAATATTTTCTGCATAAATTAAATTTTGTTTTTAATCGTGTCCTCATTGTCTACTTTGTTGAATTTAATTAAATATCTTCAAGTACTGTTATGTTTATTTATCTTAAAATATATAGATTATTAAATAAATAATCTTTACAAACATTTATGTATTAACTTCAAAAAGATATGTCATGTTATTTTGATAAGTAGAATGGTATTTATGTTATATATACATATATATATGTTATATGTTATATATATATATATATATATTATATATGTATATGATGTAACATATAAGTATAAATATATAAAAACAAATAAAAACTGTTACTGAAAACAAGTATCAAATAGATTATATCAAAAGTACTATACATTACTTTTCTCTTACTTATGTTATTTAAACAAATAATTTTGAAAAAGGCATTTAAAAATTTGGCAAACAGATGGTTACTGATTACAAAAAAATTTTAAAATTAATAACTGTAAATAAAAGCACAAATTATAAATAAATAAAATTAAAGCAGTGTTAAGTTTGTTATATAAAAATCATTTTTGTAATGTTTTAAACACAGTTTCTTCAAATTCAACTTTTTTATCAATTCGAATGTGTTCAATTCCATCTAAGCTTTTTAATACAATCCAATGAGGTACTTTTTCTTGAAGAAGATGTATATGAGCTTTCCATTCCTCTAAAATAATGATAAAATAATTTTACTATTAAAAAAAAAATTATAAATCAATAATTTAAATAAGGAACACAAATATTTAATTACGGTCTGTCATAGCTTCGGGATAACTCTGCTTCAATTGACCAATGACTTTTTTAGATGGCATAACATTTCTTTGAAGTTGTACAAAATAGGTACGCATTCTTCTTGCAATATCTGGTAATCTGTTTATCATTCTATCCTCATCTAATTGACCAACCGATCGTGTCATCAATTCTTTAGCTTTTTCTGCCTGCTTTTCCTGAATCTTTAAATAAATATATAAGTATACATGTTAAACTATACCTTGTTCCAAATAAGAGCGCACCAAATTTACGTAACAAAACTGGTTTTGCCTGTGGCCGTCTGGTGCGCTCTTATTTGGAACAAGGTATAAAAATATTGAAAAAATACCTTTAGTAAAAATGATTTGGGAATTCCTTTAAGTGCTCCTTCTAAAGCATTTTTTGCGTCTGTTGTTGGAAATGTTTTTTCAGTTGAATTTTTATTTTCATTGTTCATTGTAGTGAGAGTCCGATTTAAACGATTATTGTAAACAAACAATGCATGAGATTTGTCTAGAAAAAAATTAAACAGTCATTAATGCATAATCGTTAATCTAATAGTTAATTGACATAATTTAAATATTTTTGTTAAGCTAAATATTATATACCTAATAAATCTTTTGCTGTTACTATTTTTGGTTTGTTTATTTCAATTTTGGGCAACGTTGATGGAATGATATCTTCCACAGTTTCAACATCAAACTCAGGATGCCATCTGGTTATTTTATCTTTGTCAATCACAATAGGTGGAATTAGATTTCTCAAATATTTCTAAAAAAAAATATAAAATAATTATTTTAATTAAATAACATTACAATTTTTTTTAAATTATACTTCATGATGCTCTTTCAAAATGTCAAGTAGTGCATTAGAAAATGCCTTTTTCCTCTGAGTTGTTAGTTCAATCAAGTTTATGTTATCTTCSTTCACTGAGCCTAATTATCATATCAAAATTCAATTTCTGTACTATAAAATTAATTACTATATCAAATATTTACCATAATTTGGAGTTATCACTAATTCAAAACTAGATTTCTCTTTTGTTGATTTAACTAATGCATACTTAAAGAAATCTGGTACAACGGTTTTAATTTGCGCCAAATGTAATTCAGTAAAATTTCTAAAAAAGAAAAACAATACAATATTRAATAGTCAAAGGTATTTGCTCATAATATTATTAATTATAATATAATTTAATATTTAAATTACTTTCTAGTCATTTGCTGAACACCACGTTTGAGTTTATTAAAAGTTATCTTTTCTTTTCTACCAAACATCATAGATGAAACAGTTTCCAAAGCTTTGAATAATTCATCCAAAATACGGTATTTCAAAGGCATAGGTAATGCTTTAGAATCAGCCAAYGCAGCATATCGTTTTGATGGTGACATAGCCAAAAGAGATCCTACTTCATCTAGGTGAAACATATTCTTTGGCCTGTGTCATCTGAGAGGCTATCATTCCTTTCCTTGGACTAACCATAGATTGGGCTGGAGTGAGAAATAAGGCTGTAGGTTTAAGTTGAGATCGTTTTATTGGACTTAATCCAACTTTTACTGGGCTGGTATCAACCATGAGATCAACTGATTTAAACGAAGATAAATAATGGCTTTTGGCATCATCTACTTTAGATTTTGCAGAGTTAAGATCAATTTGTGATTGTTCAACTGAGTTGATCTTTTCTTGTAATTTCTTAAGGTTGTGTTTACGACGAACAATTTTACGAAATTCGCCCAAATCCAATTCCTAAATTTATTAGATAAATATGAGCTTATAATAATTGATTGAATAAAAAACAAATTTTCTTATTTTTATTGTTTTGTTAGATTTGTTTTTATCAGGCATGAAGAATAGTCAAAGTTAATGAGATTATCTTTGTATCTTCATAACACTTATATGTATCATAAAGATGAAAGAAAACCTTTTAACTTATTAGCAATTATAGAAATAAATAATAATTGCTGGTTTTAAAATAAATACAATTATTGGAAATTTAATTGTTTATCTAGTTATTTTTCACACTCAGATAACACAACTATTGATAAACATACTTTACGTAATTTGGCCTTAGTTGACGGTGATTGATCCGGAGTTGTCGCTCTCTCTGAATGGACATCATTTTTATCTTCAGTCTCTTTTTTTTCCAAAATGTTCTCAAAAACTTTTTTGTTATTAACAATAGAAGGATTTAAATTGTTTTGGCCAATTATTTGTATTGTACCAGAATCAACCTAAAAATAATTTAAATAATAAATAATAATGATAATTGATTGGTACAGCTATACATATTATACATTCTACAAAATAACAAATTATAAATGTCCTGAAAAACAAGTATATAGACAATTATTTTGGTAGGTACAATGTCTTTTAAAATTTAAGTGTAGAAAATGTATTGGTTTTATCTTAGAATGGATAAAAGTTTGAACTTTGATGGCTAAGGTAGCTTAAACTACATAGGTTTTTATCATAATATTATAATACTTAATATATAACATGACAAAGGTACTTTTGGCTATGTGTACATTATATTGTGTTATATAGAAGAAAATTTATTTTTAGTGTATAATTCTAAGTTTCTAGAATTACAATTATTTCTATCAATTATTATTTCATGGCTTATGATTTGTTAGTAAGTAAGAAATAAAATCTTACTATTAAATAAGTAGTAAAAAATATATTGCATTGTTACACAATTTTATCATACATTATATTAGAATGCCACACACCTATAACAGACAATCATAGGACCATAAAAGTGTCCATTATAGAAAGATTTTAGTATTTTTATAGTCATATTAATTTGTATATTAGTAATGTAAGTTATGTAAATGAGTTATGAGTACCTATTTAAATTTATTTTTAACATAGGGAAATACTTGTAGTTAATAATATAAATTTGGATTAAATCAATTTTGAGATATAGGTATATTATTTAATAATTCTTTCAAACAGAATATTCTTTCATTTATATTAAATGTTATCGTTTGCAGGCAATATAAAAACAATTGGGTGGACATATCCACAATGGTATAAAATCATAGAACATTATGTTCTATGATAAAATTAAGTTTTTTCTGTTTTACTGTACAATTATAGTTCTTTATTATGTCCCTAGCGTGAAACATTACTATCTATGTCTGTTATAAGACAAATTAAAATATTTATTATTTTGTCCATTATCCTAGTAAGTTATTCGTTAAGTTAGGGATTACTAAAATTAAACCAGATTACATTGTATAAGTAAATTATTCTACAATAGAAGAAATATTTTTCAAAATAAAAATAATTAATTTCGGTGTATTCAAATTCAATCAAACATAAATAAATGATACATTTACTATATTATACTTATTTTATTAATTACATGTTACATGTCAATAATACGATCTCCATTAAAATAAAGAAATATAATTATATATCAATATTACAATTCTTATACTAATATGGTTGACTAACCTTTTGCTTTTTAGCCGTTTGCTGCGAGGTAGAATCAAATGACAATTTTCTAGTTGGTTTATTTAATCCAAAAGTATTGTTCAATAGTTCTTTTGTATGCAAACCATCTTCGTTGGTTGGCCTTTTTCTACTTTTGATGAAACTATCCAATGTTTTCTGAGTATCCATATTTAATTAAATGACAATTCAGTGATCCACAATAAAAATTGAAATATGTCAGTCAGTGATCACTACAGTAAGTTGTACAGTGATTAATCAAAATTAACAACGGGATTTCCAATAACTATTAACTATTACCTATCCAATCCACTACCACCTATTAACAAAACATTTCGAAGAAGTATTAACGACTTAACGACTAACGAGTGAACGACTAATGAAGAATGTATTTACTATTTATTAATGTGGTATTGTGGTGAGAAGAGTGTTTACATTGTTTACAACTTACTGTTAAGAAGCTTATTGCTGGCGCATGGAATAATATAAAATCTTCTCGGAGATATTTTGATAGCATGATTCCCGGGTAATAATAATTATGGTAACTACTGGACACATTAAACTGATTTTTTAATACTACTATTTTCGGTGTTACAGTATGTGCTAMACTGCTAGCCGGTTGCGATAACATCAAAAAATAGATAAAAACTAATCTATTCTGTGTTATAACCTTATATTTATAACTACTTATTAACTTTACTGAGTTGATCACGTATTCACGTCTGGACGGAGTTATCTTTATTCTTCACAAATATTATGTTCATCTTCATTTAGATTTAGACCTAAGCACAAAATAATATTAATTAAAATTATGTTGGGCATCAATCTGTTAAGAAATGTTAGATATTTTTCAACCAGTTATTGTTTAAGATTAGATATGTCCTGGAGAACTTTGTAAGTAGCTACTTATATAATTATTACTTTTTATGGTTATATGTTATATATACTTTGCTATAATTTGTAATCAATTTATATATTCTATTTCTCAATTGCGTTTAAAATTTAAACCATAGGTATGTACACTAAATTCCATAGTAATATTGTACTAATTTAAATAATTTAAAAATATAATAATTTAAAATKAAATAATTGTTTATTTTTTTTCCTCATTATTGTCTTTTTATCCATTTAACTCTCATGATTCCCCTTTTCCACAATCTAAAACGACACCCCCTCAATATTAAAAATATATTCTCTTCTCGACAAAAAAATAATTTTCCTCAAATCAATTCTAAGATTATTTTACAACCAGTGGCGCCAAGACACACTCAAGGTGGTGCATTTGAACCGTACCGCAAACCGGCTCATACAAAGTTAGTTCTATGACTGCGCTTGCAGTGACAACCACCACATACCCATCGTCYTCGCACGTGTCGTACCCTCCCACACAACTTCTTCTTGTTGTTATTTTACTTTGTTTTTTGTGAAATATTCAAATATACGACAACCTCCGCATTTCTGCGACATAAAAAAACGTTTGTGTTGTTCTTTTCATCGCGTCAAACAACTCCACCACATCCACCCTCGTGGCAACCGTCCAAGATCACCACAAATTTGGCTCCCCGGCGGGGAATCGAACCTCGGTCTCCCGCGCTACAGGCGGGGATACTTACCACTATACTACTGAGGATTACTACTTATGACATTTGTTAATTATTATATTTATAGTTTGAATATTATGTACTGTTTTATCACAAAATAAAATAACTATGTGATTGTATTATGATAGGTATTTGAGTTAATAAAAATCAACAAAATAATATAAAACACTTTTATTTTTGTGGGTTTTTTTTCCGTGGTCATTTTTTCTGCTTACAGGGTGGATGGTCTTTGTGGAGAGTTGAACCATCATTTTTTAATGAACTCTGCGCTACTGTTTACAGCAATTCTCCAAACTTGCTTTTTATTTGCATTCCTCTTATTTATTTGTACAATTTAAATGCTAGGTCAATAACTGCTCGTCTCATATATTCAACTATGATATTTTCCTATAATTTTTACCTTCACATTATTAGTTCAAGTTACCCACTATGTCTTGTACATGCCCAATCCTAAAATATCTTATTTTCTTGATACTTTCCTATAGAGCTCTTAACTCCAATATTCTTCTTTGGTCACCATATTTGGCCGACTCATCTTGAACATTCTTGATTCTACTGCTTAATTTTTCGTATTTTATAATTCTTCAATCAGTCAGGCAATATAATTTATATTTTTATGTATCTTTGATTTGTACATCACTTAATATAAATTTATGTTATTACTTATAACATTTAATCTTGTAAATTGAAAATTGTAATTGTTGTACAAAGCTTAAGTAAATATAAAGCAACAGTATCCTTTTTAAGCTAATCTAACCTTAGAATATACACTTGGAGATCCTCCATCAAAGCATAGTTTCTTTGCATTATAGATTTACTATTCTATCTTAAATATGTATGTATTATATATTTTATTTAGTATTCAAATAAAAGTTAATTTGATTTACAGAAAAAAACTGCCTCTAAACCCAATGGATAGAGGTGTTCTTACGGATGGTGCGGATTACATTTTTTTGGATGGGCGTCCTACCCCATTCGGAATGAAACAAAAACGAAAACTTTTGCTTCAAAGAGAATATGCTGTAAGTTTTTTTTTATTAGTTTTGAATGTGTACAATCCACACACACACACAYATATATATATATAATGTAATAGTTCAACAAAATTTGTAAATTATATTGACAGTTTTATAAATATATATAATAATTATAATACATTTAAAATAATTTTTAGAAAAAAATTGTTGAACTTAGTGAAAGTTTAGACATTGCAAAGGAACGGTATGCGATGAAAATTGGAGAAAAAGATGAAAAGCTAAAACAAGTTTTGAAAAGAAAACTTAAGCCCAAAGGAAATAAAAATTCTTTGGACAAATAGTATTCATATTTTTATTATAATTCAAAAATATTTAGGTAGAAAACACATTTTGTACAGAAAATTATAATTTAATTCATTGCAATAAAAACAATTAAACAAAATATTACTGTGGAATGTTTTTGTACCTAATCAAAATGCATTCCGGAATACACTATTATCCACATCACCTGAAATAAAAAAAAACAATATTAAATTAATTACAATATTTATTATCAAAATTAGGTACCAACTTAATTCTTATTTTTTTTTAAGCATATTAAAATAACTTTGTTAAGGATAAAAAATGCAGTTAACATTTTCAAACATCTTATTTATTTATTTAATTCAACTATTAATTAATATAAATCTTGCATAATTTAATGTAATATTTTATTCCTAAATATAAATTATTTATAATTTATAATTTATTGGTGATGAGTGATAACTTAAATGGGCAGCATTTTTACATGGATGTAATACGAGGTGCATCAATAATATTTTTGGTACTATATTTTGATAAGTATTAAGCATTGGATAAATCAAATGGGGATAGTGTTACAATAGTCAATTCAGTCAAGATTTATTTTGTTATTTTATTTGTTTAAAGTTAAAATAAACTGACCTATATTTATTAAGAACATTTTATACTTATATATTGTGTTAACTCTGTCTTACTAACACATAACATTCCAAAATTAGCCATTCAAACATTGTGCAGTTAGCTCGAATATTTGTGAATTGACCTTAACTTTAATTTTACAAAAATTATTAATTTAAGAGTATATAATACTCATTACTCATTTAAAATTAAAATATTGGAAAAAACTAGCTAACAACCTCAGATAATATCTAATAATACCTTTAAGTATGGTAATTGATCAATTTTCTTTAATATTAAGGTTTATAACACAAAATTGGAACTACTGAACACAGGTTGTCTATTTGTAAGACATATTACAATACAACTATTCTAAATACATCTTGTAAGACATTTTATTGGATAGACATAGACTGCTTCTAATTTTTGTACTTGTAATTATATCCTATACAGACTATATAAAGTAAAAGTATAATACATTTTCCTGTCATAATATGAGTGAGATGGAAAAATAACTTGTATGATATAGTAAGATTTAAGATATTTATCAGAACTAAAAATCCACTGACAATATAACCATAGGAGAAAATAACTAAATGTATTAGCTTCAAATGATGAAATATTTTTCTTACCAAAAATCCTGCTAATGAAGTGACAAATCCTTCTTTGGTTAATTCCCATGCTCCACCAAATTCTTCTTCGTCAACTTGTTGGAAATTWGTAAAATATGCGTATAATAATACAGCATTGAGCACCAAAAATCTAAACAAGTAAATTATCAAAACGATAAAAGTGTATTGAAAAAGTTTAAGTTTATAAATCTTACAGTCCTAGTCCAAATAGTCCTTTTAGTGGTAAAAGTCCCCATAAAAGACCAGCAATGAGTCCAAGGATTTGCCTTGCCCAATAAATCACATCAAGAAATTCATCCTTAATAAAAAATTTAACAGAACATTCATAATATGAATAGGTAATAAAAAAAAAAAGCAATAAAGATAATTCTGTCAAAAGTTTATGTTTACTTTGTCGGGCCATTCCGAATTTTTTGTGGTAGCTTTTTTTAAAGTATCCAAAATTGAATTTTGACACAGTGTTTTCTTTTCAACTGCTTTTGACATGTTTCACTTTATGTACATACGTTTTTAACAGTATTAAACCCGGCCTATCACTTTAATTTTAAAATTACACTTTTATTTACTAAAATATAATACTTAGGTGTCTAATTATATTTTTTAATATCAAGTTTTAGGTAATTATTAATTATTATTATTATTAAGATACATTAACTTTATCTAAATTATCAAAATCAAATGCCGGTAATCGGTATCAAAATATCGAATATTTAAAATATTATACAATGTTGAAAGTAATTTGCACAACTATAACAAAAATGCAAAACTAGAAACTATTGTGATAAAATAAATTTATTTTATCATAAAAAGACGTATCAAGTCATAGATAATAATGATGACGAAACAAGACAAATCACTATTTTATCATTAGTGAACTCAACCAACCACGGGTTCACGCCTCCACGCACGGCTTTAGATAGAATGGCTGCGCGTCGACGTACCTAAGGCTCTATAGTGCCCTAACATAATAACAGAAGCGACAGCTATCAAAATCCCATTGATCACCGAAAAATATTTCTGTTGACCTTGAGCTGGAGGCTCGGCATGATGTTGGCAGCGGATGACCGGTATGATGTTGTAACCGTATCGCAATGCTTAATGTATTTCCTAGTTTTTAAAAATTTAAATTATCAATATCACAGAAAAAAGTGATAACAGTCGAAACATGCTACAGATTGTTAATTACAACATCATGCCGAACCTCCACTGCCAACTTCATGTTGAACCTCCGGCAAAATGAAAACAAATCCATCAGCTACTGTTTGACTGTCTCTTCTATTATGTTCTATGCCCTAACGTACCATGTTAAGCTTACCATAGATTAAATATACTATATAGTATATTTAATCTATGCAGGAATTGACTGACAGTTAGTGCCATCTAGCGTTGACTTCTATATGTTTTACTAAATCGTGCTAAAAACAGTAATTTTGTTTTTGAGTATCTCAAATCTCAATTATTCACTGGCTCAATTATTCACTGGTCGAAGCATATTTTTAGTATATTTAATAAAAAAAATTGACAAATTTATAAAATTTAAAATATTTATTCTTTTATAAAAAGTGCTTCGACTGATGCAAAGTAAACTTGTATACCAATTTTTACATATTTGAAATTGAACAACTAGAATCGTATTGTATGTTCCATGTGTGTTAGACAAAGAGAAAGACAGAAAATCACCTCTTCCAATCCCCTTAAATTGGATTATTTTTCCAGCTAATTTTTTCCATTTGCATCATAGGAATCGCGGTAAAAAAATTCTATAATCTTAAAGACATTAATGGATTAGGGGTGGCCATAACTTCTCAAAAGTAAAATCTCAATATTTTTCTTTAATGTGTACCTGAATAATAATGTCCTGTGTGGGGTAAAAAATAATATGTTCCTTTATTTGTTAAAAAATTAAAAATTAGTCTTAATTTAATAATGTACGCGAAAAACAATTTACATCCATGACATATCTTCTTAATTTGTGATCCAAATATATTTATTTTTAAAATACTACTATCAAATAAGCAAATAGCAATAGCAATACAATTATAATAATCATCTTAATTTATGTATCAATAAACTGATTTAAATAATCAGTCACTCTGGCTATAAGAAACATGGTATTAGAAAATTCATTCATTAGCATGTTTTCATTTTTTCAACATATTCATTAGTCATAACTCATAATTAATAAGTTGTTAATTAAAAGCTGTAATATAGATTCCATGGCTAAATAATTATTTAGCCAATATTATAGATTCTATATTTTGTAGATTAATAATTAATATATACATCATATTCATGTAAGAAAATAAATGCATATTTGTAATTGTAACAATATTTTATCATGGGTTTTCATTTTTGGTCTTTAATTCATTATAATTTTTACTTTTCTTCTTCCTTTTTAATAACTGTGTATAAAAAATTTTAATAAGCCAACGGGGGCCAGATTGCTGTGGTCACGCAATTGACTATGACTCACACAGTTATCGGTTAGATTCATAGCAAAGTGCAAAAAAAATGTGCGTGGTTCTACGACTCTACGTGACCTGTCGTCCGATTGCGTCATCCGGTTTCCAATTAGATTCCACTCCAGTGGGAGTTATGACTGCACATGTCTCCTCTTGGGGAAGGGGGGTAATATCATGTATTTATTAATATATGTATACATAGATAAATAGATCACATGATCTCCCTACTGCCCACTTGTGATAAGCATTGACGAAGATCTAGGTCCTAGAGATCGTTTCAATGAACAAATACATAAAAAAAAAAAATAAGCCAACAGAACATGAAAAGACAATCAAATGTTTAAATTGCTCGATTTAGCAACTACTGCATTTAGATGTTTAGTAATTACTTTCAGGTTTAGTCAACATTTAGTGTTTACAAAATAGACATCAACACAAATAAAACAATACCTACATATAAATACAAACATTGTTTTAAAGTGGGTGAAAATTCACAATATATTTAAACAAGGTATTTTAAAAATGCACACAAAATCATTTGGATTAAAAGGTATATAATTATAAGTACACAAATGTATAATTATAGTAATATTTGGTAAAAAAACCTGTTTTAAAGATTACAAAAGAATTAAAATTTGTCAAATTAAAAATGCATCTTATTATTTTTAAATAATTTAAAAAACATATAAATACAGAAATTAAATACAATTGTTTTAGAAATAAAATAAGTTTCATAAGATATTATTGAATGCATTTGACTAACTAAAACCAACTTGTTCAGAATATCTTAATATTTTACATTTTGTTTCACAAATGTTACAGTTTTCAATCATTTTTAAATAGGAAATTTTACAATCATAAAAATACAGATCTAAGATTGTTAAGAAGACGTAACACTGAAATTTATTGTCTCCATTTTACAACTGTGTTACATTGTAACATAGCAAATTTAAACTTAGCAGATCATGTTTAGTTTTGTTAGTTTAAAAAATAAAGTGAATCGGCTTATTATGAAACTTGATGGTAAGATTATTAGGTATCTGAGTTAGTGAGTTTTTTTACAATATTTCAGTTTTGAAGTGGTAACTGGTAATGAGCATTTTTAATTATGCTACATAATACACGCGATACAAAAAAAACATTAACTTTTGTAAAAAAAAACCATATACAAGCAAAGATAGATAATGTTTTTACCACCAAATTTTATGATGGATCGATTCACTAAAATTTTTAAACAAACAAAGGTAAACATAATCTGCTTTGCATAAATGTGCTATATTTTGCACTAGTAAAATGGAGAAAACAAATTCGCACAATAAATGTTACATTCTCTTCAAATATTGATAATTCTAATTTTTAAGATCATTAAGTGTTTCCATATAAAAATAAATCAATAATATTTAAACTCTTAATATTCGTATAAATTAAATGTTAAATGACTAGTAGCGAGTAATAAAATACTAAAAACATCAGTGTTCATTAAAATAAAAAAAAAGTGTTCAGTAAATTTAATACAAACATTAATTAGCATTACAATCAATGACAATTTATTAAATAGTGTGTAGTATAAATAMATTTTTTAGATAACTTTACTAGTTTACTCTAATATTTGCATATCTACACATGTACAGAGCACTTCATAATTTAATTGAGGGGGTCGAGGTGGCCGAGTGGTCTAACGCGTCGGCTGTGGCTCAGCCGGACCGGGTTCAATCCTCGACCATCGGGCGGCATTTTTCTCCGGGCAAGTCATGGTGTCCGGAGAACAAGTGCCGCCATCCCCCACTCCAGGGCATGGTAGAAACCTACGGGTGCCCCAATAGAAATTCTGCCAAACAGGCGTCCTAACTAGGCCTTCGAGCCTACTCCCAGACATAGCTCCATACGAGAAAAAAAAAATTAAATTGAGAACAATTTAAATACCTATACATGGAAATTAATATTTTATCATATTGATGAACTAATTTAAGCTTCATAAAAAATGAGTTCAATTAGCAAAAAATCAAAGAAAAGAATAACTTTTGTATGTATAAATACAGAATTCATGGAATTATATGTTTTAAAATTTTTAGTTAGACATTTCAATGTCATTATAATGATTAAGGAAGGAATCTTTATGCTTTTACATGTTTATTAAATATTTAAGTAGGTTGAGTAGGTGACAGAAACAGGCATGGTTCATTTCTCAATACTTATTTCAAAGGAAATTGTGAAATTTCCATTAACTAATATTTATGAATTTGCTGTAGACATTTTTGTACAGGAAAATTATATTTTATTATTCATTCTTTAACTGTTATTTTATATTAATAGTATAAACAATAATATATTGGATTTTAAAAGTAAGACAATTATATAATTTCTGTTATTGTGTGTGGAAAATATTTTTGTGTATATTTTTCTGATTCAAAAGTGAATATTTAGTTTTTAGCGTATATTATATTGAAAGATTTTCAAGACTACATAGATGTTGACAATAATATTATAATCAGTTTAGGATAAAATATGTATTTTATAATTTAGATCTACATAGTGTTTAATAATTAGTTCAGTTACATGAGTGACCAGAGTGAACAACAAAATATTTTATATAAAAAACTTAAACAAATATATAATAAATATTTGTAATTGTTTTTTATTTACTTATTAAATTAAATATTTCCGTTATTAATTATCCATGTAATTGATATTATAAGATTGATGTTCTTCATATTGCCCCAAGGCCCCAATTCATAATATAATATTTAGTATTATTATTCACACTATTTCAAAGTCTTGACTTACAGATAGTTTAATGCATAAAATATGGTTTGTAAATTTGTATGTTAACATACTGAACTCTATACTCTATTCAAAATGAGATCATTACTCGGCGGCGACCAGTTTTCGTTCGGCGGCGGTCAGACTCCGCCCACAAGCATCTAAAGCGCTGCTCCCACCGGCGGCGGCGCGTCAGCCGCTGCCACGGAACAAAGCCACGCCCATGCGCACAACTAGGCCGCCGAGTAATGATCTCATTTTGAATAGAGTATAGGAAACTATATTTTTATTTTTATTCATATATTTACTGTTAACTTACAATTTTTTTATACATTTTGACTTATAAAAAATGGTTTTGTTATTTGTTATAATTGTTTTCAATTTGATA